CGAATAACGTTTTATTGAAACACAATCAATGGAAACCTTCATGGTACAAAAGCACACCTGAGTATTTGAAACAGAGACTATACAGGCACAAAGCCTAAAATACTTATTGTCTGGCCATTTACACAAAGTGTTTCCCAACTCCTACAATAAGAGAAATGGAAGGTAAAAGAAGAAATATTTGAAAAGCAAAATTAAATGGAAAAAAAATATATATGTATATATATGTATATATACATATATATAATTTTTTTTTTCAGGATATAAGAGTGACAGTTATCAGTGGCTCTGGGAGGTAAGTACAGGCAGTTGTTATTTAAATGGGCAGGGTTTCTATTTAGGATAAATGTTTTAGAAATGGATACTGAGAATGTTAATGACATTGGAGTGTACACTTTAAAATGTTAAAATTTTATGTTATGTATATTTTATCACAAAAAAAGAGCAAGTGACAAATTTGGAAGACAGGCAAAGTTCCAATATACATAAAACCAAGAAAAGAATACTAAAAATTGTAATTTAAGAAAATTTGTATGCATATATGCATAACCCATGGACACAGACAACAGGATAGTGAAGGCATGGGACAGAGAGTGGGGGTAGCCTTGCAAGGGTCAATGGGGAAAAGGGATATATGAAATACTTCCAACAATAAAGATTTAATTAAAAAAATAAGGTAAATACTATGAAATCTCATAATTCAATGCTTTGTTAAAAGCCTTTTTTAAGACCTCACCTAAATTTTTCTTTAAAAAGGAGACCTCATCCTATCCTATATAATAAAAGGGTAATATGCAAATAGCCCAATGACAGAACAACTCAACAACCAATCAAAGCATAATATGCTAATGATATGTTAAGGCTGCTCAAACCCTTGCTATGAGGTGCACTGACCACTAGGGGGGCAGATGCTGTGAAGGATAGGTTAGCTTGCTGCTAAGGTCTGGCCAATCGGGACTGAGCGAGATGGGCCAGACATGCCCCGGAGCCCTCCCGCAATCCCTCCCTGGCCCAATCATGCACCACACCAGTGGGGTCCCAAAGCCTGGCCTGTGCCCTCTTGCAATCCAAGATCTCTCGGGCGATGTCACAGAGTCAGTTTCAGCCCCATTGTGCAGGCAAAGCCCCTTGGGAAGGCGCCAGATGCAGGCTTGTGGCTGGTGAGCGCTGCTGTGGCAGCCTGAGCCTCTGCCAATCGGGGCTGACTAGGCGTGAGTCTGCGGCAGGCACAGTGGGGCTGGATGAGCTGGAGTGGCAGGTGACTTTGGACTTCAGGTTTTGGCCCAATCCCTGCAGGCTGCCCAGAGGGACCCCACCCATGCACAAATTCGTGTACTGGGCCTCTAGTCAGAATATATTGGCCCTTTAACAAAATTATGTCACTAGTGGGCATTAAAATAAGAGGATAACATCACTCTAAATTGATATGATTATGAAGTTTTGACTGCAGTCTTTGAACAACAGAAAACTGGGGGTCAAAGATCTTATCTGTAGAAGTCTTACATAAACTCCAGTCAACAATATAGGACTGGGTCATTTTGATATAACTATCTTAAGATGGCATTAGAAATAGTGTTTTTGAGAACTGTATCAAAAATGGGAACTGAAGATTATGTTTTTAATTGTGAATAGGGTGATTCCACTGACTCTAAGCCATATTTTAAACAAATAATTATCACAGTCCAAGATAGGAGAGAAATTGTGCTGCTTGGAAAGAATTTTGGTTACTCTTACGATAATATTTTTTAAAAGTCATAAGGTTTAAATGTGATTTCTGAGATCTTAAAAATGGATTCATTTCATTCTATAGAACTGTAAACTCATTTTAAAATACAAATAAAGGCATTAATTAATCTTTATTTGACTAGCTAGTTTTTGCTGATCTTTTAAATCCCTGCTTTAAAATCTCTATCTGGAAAGATTTCCTTATGTCCTAAAACCAGGAAAAATGTCCCTATTATCTGCTCCAATAAATAGTATAATAACGTACTTTTTCTATCACTTTAGGGGGACATTGTGGGGCTTTGTTATTATTGTTCTTCTCTAGCCCTCCCTACTAGACTGTAAGCTCTATAAGGGCTTATTTGCCATTTCAAAATTGTATCAGTATTTAACACTAGTTCTATGATATTAAAATATTTGTGAAAAATGAACTACAAGTTTTAAATTTTACTATCCTGCCAAAACTGGTTTGGCTCAGTGGTAGAGCATCGGTCTGCGGACTGAAAGGTCCCAGGTTCGATTCCGGTCAAGGGCATGTACATTGGTTGTGGGCACATCCCCAGTGGGGGGTGTGCAGGAGGCGGCTGGTCGATGTTTCTCTCTCATCAACGTTTCTGGCTCTCTATCTCTCTCCCTTCCTCTCTGTAAAAAATCAATAAAATATATATATATTTTTTAAATAAATAAATTAAAAAAAAAATAAACTTTACCATCCATCCAAGAGATTGTATTTCATATCTTTAAACAGCTATTCAAGGACAATTCAATGAATAGCATTCCAATCAACTAATAGTCAACTGAGAATTACTTTTAAGGACTCAGACGATACATGATAGAGAAGACTAGATTTAACAAAGCTTTAATGCTATACATAGAAACATAAAGTATGGTAAACTGACTCTAGGGTAGTATGTTTTTATACCATGGAGAGTTCTGTTTTTGTTTTGTCTGTTTTCCACAATTGAACTAAACAATTTGGTAACAGCCAGTTCAAGGTTGGATTCTCAATAAACACAACATAATTACGGGACTGAAACAGAATAAAAAGTAACTTATGACAAACAGAAGCGATTTGGGAGATATGCTCTACTTCATGTGTGGCTAATCCTAAACAAGTTCACTATTACACAAATAAACGTAAGTATCATCTATGATTACTTACAATGGAGTAAGCTGAGGAGTGACAAGACTTGTGAGATGATGTTAAAATAGTCAAATTTGGAATAAAGTATGCAAAAACAAACAACCTTGGTTAACTTATACCACCAGGCACAGGCCTTGCATTTGGCCTAAAGAAAAAGAAATGCTATTTCATCTAAAATAAGCAGTATCCTGTAGCAAATACCTAGTTAGATGAGAGTCTGATTATGATCCAACTCACTACATTTCCAACAGTAATGCCTACTTACCAAGAATGAATCCAGTAATCTAATAATTATTTCCTCTGTTTCTCATATTGTTGATCATGGCCCATTAATGAGTCACAAACAGCATTTGTAAATAATGAAATGTTATAGGATATAAAATATCAGAGTACAACACATGTAGTAAGGGAAAGTATTGTTTCCTAAAACTTTTGATTCAGTTTGCGTGTGTGATAATGTAAACTATGTTTCTAACTATTGATTGCAATAAAAAAAAAAAGTGTGAATCTACTCAGAAATATATACTCCCAACTACTTCCTTTCCCCAAAACTGGGAAAGTAGAAATTCTCCATCACAATTACTCACAAAAATTAAAAGTGAATTCAACCCAGAAATCAGTTATAATAGTTTAAATTTGATTTCACAAGTTCTAAAATATCAAACTGTTTTGAGTTCAAATCCAGATTCCACTACTTTCTGTGCAAATCTGGACTTATTCAAACAGGATGTGCTTCACTTTTGTCATCTGTAAAACGGGGGTAAGAATATCTTGCAAGTTTTGGTAGCAACAATAATAATAATAACATATAATGAGTTCTTAACAAATATTTTTGCCATTAACAGAACAAACTGAAGGCATGGTATATACTAGAAACAGCAAAAAAACAACAGAGGTATTACAGTCATCTAGGCTGTGGGAATATGTCCTTTGTTTTGTTTTATATTTCTGTAGCTTATAAAAATATACCAGATGTTTTTAAAATTAAAAACCTAATTCCAAGGTTTGTGAATTAGAACTTTTTCTTGAGAACTTCTGTGCCAAGTGCTTCTCACCAAGTACTCACACAATCTCAGTATATAATTTCTGCCCATGAGCAAACGGAGGCAACTGAGATGAGCTTAAAGTCTGTGTCAGACATGTAACAAACAGCCGTCAGTGTCCAGGACTTCAAATCCTACAGTTCTTCTATTATCACATAACGCATCCAAATATTCTTCTCCAAGTTGTTTCCTATAGCGATAGTTTGATCTACCAATTAAGACTGTAAACCTGAGAAAGGGGGGAGAGTTTCACAAACTTCATTTTTTGTCTTTCACTGGCTTACCAAGATGAGGAACAGAGAAACACTTGTTGAGTCACATTCAACCTCTTTTGTTCTACACTCTCCTCCTGGGACGTACCCTTGTTAAAAGCTAAAGAAGCCAGCAAACAAACGACAAAAGCTCCTCCGAGCCTGCCAAAATCTAACTTTGTTCCTACATGGACAGAACCGAAAAAGTGTACGCATACCCACATCCAGAGACTACCACGCAGGGGATGTGGGCATGAGTACAAATATCACTAAAAAAATAATGGATTCCCCCGTTCCCCTACCACGCCCCCGTCACACAGGCCCTAAGGCAGTGTTTCCCAAACTTTTCTCAAGATGAGAATCACCTGGTGGAGGTGTTAAAAATACAGATTCCTGAATCCCAACTAAGAAGTACTAAACTAGAATTTTTGGGAACATATAGGTAAAATTGTATACTTAAGTAATTGTATACTTAAGCTTAGAGCACTAGTTGGGAACATATAGGTAAAATTGTATACTGAACTAGAACATATAGGTAAAATTGTATACTTAATTGTATACGTAAGCTTAGAGCACTAGTTCAGTATACAGTTTTACCTATATGTTCCCAAAAGTTCTAGTTTAGCACTTCTTAGTTGGGATTCAGGAATCTGTATTTTTAATAACTCCACCAGGTGATTCTCATCAGGAGAGAAGTTCGGGAACCCCCGTCCCTTAGGTGAGGAGTTCCCGTCCCATAGCCACGCCCCCATCGTGTTCCATCACAATAACTTTGTTTTCTTTCCCTACCGGGGACCCACTAGTCCTTGACATCAAAACCCTTTTTTAAGGAAAGTTTCTGACCTGCAGCGAAGTGCAGGGGGGAAGATTTCCGGCCGGCCATGTCCTTGGCGTTCACGTTGGCCGCGTCCACCAGCCTCTTCACCCGGGACACGTCCCCATTGCGGCAGGCCTCCAGCAGCTCCCGCAGCGCCCCGCTCACGGCGGGGACCCCCGGCCCCGGCCCCGCCGCCCCGGGCCCCGCGGCGGCCGCGGCGGCGCTCAGTCCCGCCGCCTCGGGGCTCTCCGCCAAGCTCGATCCGGGGGAGGACGGAGAGGAAGAGGAGGACGAAGTTGGGGAAGACGAGGACGACGGTGAATTATTATGACTGCCCCCGCCGGCTGGGTTGGGAGGGACTCCGACGGCAGATGCGGCGGAAACCACGGGTACCACGGGAGCGGCGGCGACGGAACAGATCGTGCCGGTGGTGCCACAGCCGGTGCCGTCCACCGGGTCCGGGGATCGGGGCCTGTCGGGCGGATCCCGACTGCCATCCCCCTCGGGCAGCGCTAGGCCGTGCCTCGGGGAGGCGAAGGGGGCCAGGCCGCCCGCCGTGGGAGAGGCTGGGGTGGTCCCCGGGGCCAGGCCCGGGCTGAGTGGCGGGGGAGGTGGCGGCGGCGGCGCCGAAGCCCCCGGGGCGGGCTGGAGCTGCTGCTGATGATGGTGGTGATGATGCTGAGAGCGACGCGACGCCGCCATCTTCGGACTCCCCGGGCACTGTCACTGCGGCAACGGCCCCCACAGCCCGCCCTCACTTCCGGCCTCCGGACCAATCAGCGTCCAGCGCACAGGAAATGATGCTTGGCGGAGTGGGCGGGGTCAGGGAGAAGTCGGGAAGTATTGGGAGCTCGGAGGACGGCCGCGGAAGGGGGCGCGGCCGTGTGGCTGGGAGGCGGGCTCTGTGACGCCTGGGCGGGCTGGCGGGGAGATTTGAAAGCTCCCAGCAGCGTCTGCCTAAATGGGAAACTTTCCTGCATCTCTTGCTTTCAGCTTGCTTACATCGCCCTGCTCCGTCCTCTGCCCAAGTCTCCTTTAATGTTCCTGATCTCGCCCAAAACGTGCTCTTCCGGTGTAATTCAGTGCGGGAAGAGAATGTGTCGTTTTTTGATATAGCCATGGCCTTCGTTTGAAAAGTGGAATATTAGCGACCTCACAGAATTGTTCGCGGGGTTCAGTGAGCTAACATATATGCAAAGCGCTGTGTCCCTTAATAAAGCATAGCTGTAATCAGTCCCTTGGTAATTCAGTCTTCTCTCCTTACCCTTCCCCGGAGATCTCTTGATCTCTATAACCCTTCTCTATAATATACTTTTTAAAATATATACGTTTTTATTGATTTTTTTAGAGAGAGAGGAAGGGAGAAAGAGAGATGGAAACTCGGGGAGGCGAAGGGGACCAGGCCGCCCGCCGCGTGGGAGAGGCTGGGGTGGTCCCGGGGATGGAAACATCATCCGCTGCCTCCTACACGCACCCCTACTAGGGATGGAGCCTGCAACCCAGGGCATGTGCCCTGACTGGAAATTGAACCGGCGATCTGTTGGACCCTGGGTCAACGCTCAACCGCTGAGTCACACTGGCAGGGATGTACTTTTTTTTTTTTTTTTTATTTCAGAGGGAGAAAGAGAGGGATAGAAATGTCAATGATGAGAGAGAATCATTGATTGGCTGCCACCTGCATGCCCCCCACTGGGGATTGAGGCCACAACCCCAGCATGTGCCTTGACCAGGGTCCAACCTAATCTCCTGGTTCATAGGCTGATGCTCAACCACTGAGCTACATTGGCCAGGCTGTGTACTTTCTTAATACTCTCTTTTAAAATAGTGATTCTGATTTCCAGAACTGGAATTCAAGCTCTGTCATTTACTAGCTGTGTAAATTTGGGCAAGCTATTGAACTATGTGGTGTCTACCATTCCCCTCTGCAAAATCAAATTAGTAGTTGAATAGATGTTAACTATTACAGTTATGATTTTTTTCTGTTATCTCTGTACTTTTGTATCTCACCGTAAGCTCGACTCAAATCATTGTGGATATGTACCTTTTGTTTTAATTCTTTTTAACTTAATCTGTCCTCTCCTTTCACCTCTCCTCCCCCCTCTCAAACTAAGATAAAAACCTCACGACTATCCATCACTCTTCTTCAGATGTCATTTTCAGTAACTACTTTTTCCCTTCTGTCTATACCAGTGGTCGGCAAACTGTGGCTTGTGAGCCACATGTGGCTCTTCGGCCCCTTGAGTGTAGCTCTCCCATAAAATACCACGGCCTGGGTGAGTCTATTTTGAAGAAGTGGTGTTAGAAGAAATTTAAGTTTAAAAAATTTGGCTCTCAAAAGAAATTTCAATCGTTGTACTGTGATATTTGGCTCTGTTGACTAATGAGTTTGCCGACCACTGGTCTATACCTACTATTTTTGTCTGCCATCAAAAGAGAGGTACAATGCATGGAATAATCTTAGTGAGGTCTCCGTTTCCTGCCCCCTGTTCAATAGTAAACTAGCCATTGTGGGAGTCTGCACAAAAAGCATTATTCCAATAGGATGGACACATATGGAGAATTCTGTGTGTTAAGGAAAAACAAGGTTTACATGGGTCAAGCATCAAAGAATATTAAAACAGGTGATAAATTGTTTCACATGTTATTAATATAATAAATGTGATGTTTATATTCCTACGTTATAAAAAAGTAAGTTTATTTAGAACCACCATCTAAATACAAGGTCTGGAACATTTATTGTCATCTAACGTGGGTTTACTGATTATCACTATAACATTATTCATCTTTCATAAATGTGTGTCATTGTTCATAAATTGGCAAATATGTGGCTGGATAAGAAAACTCCATCAGTGCAACTGAAATCTGTCCACAACACACGTTCTCCTTGTCTTGGATGTTAAATTAGTGCACAGCAGAAGGTAGCTTTAAAGAGTAGGGGTGAGTCAGCATAATACCTAAGATGTTTATAACTCACGGGGGAGGAATAAGGAGTATCTCATCTTGATCCCCTATTGGCCAATTATTCATAAATCACCAGAAGTAGCAATGCTCGCCTTAATTTAAAATGCATCTCTCATGTCTGTTTATCAGTGTAAAATAAATAAGAAAATTTCTGCTGCATAGAGATGAGAAGGCTGAATTGCCTAAAACTGCTGGTAAACTTTCTGAAAATGCATTCAATCAATTGGAAATGGCCTTTTCCCCCTCCAGTAGAAAGTAGTAAAAGTACTTAACATTAAGTATTTATATGGTTTAGGTTTTTATGGGCTAATGTTGAGTTCTAAATACAACAGGGCAGATATCATTACCTAATCTTTCACAGCTAAATGCAATTCCATGAAGAATGCACAATAACCTAGTGGAAAAAACAAAGTACGGTGTCAAACAAACCCGGGCTGGGGTTTGAAGATTACTAGTTGGCTAATCTTGGTAGATATACTTCAGCTCTGTCATTCCAAATTCTGACTTTATTGCAGCGTGTCACGAGAATTAAGACCTGGGTGTTTTATAAGTACTCCTTGAGTGTTAGTTTCATTCTCTTATGTGGCATAGTTTCAATAGGAACTCATAGCCACTGTTGATAGCTATCTCCTCAAAACTTCCTTTATGAAAAAGATGGTGATGGGAATAGATATTCATCATTTACACATAACGGGAATTTTAAGAAAAGAAAAATCAGCTTTGTCTCCTCATCAGAAAATTTAAGATTTTATACAGTCCCTAATATCTCCAAGAATAGTTGTTGAGGACCATTATTGTGTAGTATCTTATCATTTTCAAAACTGTTTTCAGAAAAATTATGTCCAAGTGGTTTAAAAGTGTGAGCACATAGCCATATTATTGATGCAAAAGAGCCACCAACTCAAAGAGCCCTCTCCTCTGGACCACATTGAGATGTTTGTTTTCCCCCAAGGGTATTGTATGGATACACATTGTAAGTTTCACAGTCATACACTTGCACAGTCTTCATATTTCACTAGCTTTGGTATGATTATTTCATTCATATTTTTCTCATTAATCTTTCCCAAATCCAAGTTCATTGGTAGAAACTCAGATTTATTAAGTCGCCAAGCCATGATGAACTTAATGCCTGCAGGTTGTGGAGCACCAAATAGTGACGGTGGGAAAACGCTTGCCCTGGTGAAGATTGGAGCAAAGACATCTGTGAGCAGAAACCATCAGACCTACTGGATGGGAATAAGTGGCAGCCAACCAGTGAGAGATACTAGTCAATACCTGAACACATCGTGCACACCTTCCACCCACTGTCTCTTCCTGCTTGCTTGCAGTTGTTTGGTTTGTTGAAGGAAATAAATGAATGAATGCTATTTGAGTTCAGTGATGTTTGTGTGCAATTTCTCTTGGTATTGGCTACTCCTTCATATCGTGTCTTTGTTTTGATGTTGCTGCTCAGAATTAAACATTAAGTAATCCAGAAGAACTCTTAACCTCTCTGTAAACTCATCTGCAAGGTGGGGATGTGAAGAGTCATTATGAGACATAAATGAATTAATATATGCCAAATACTTAGAACAGTTTCTGACACAGGATAAATACTATGTAAATGTCAGCTGTTATCATTAAGAACTGGGGAAGGCTTCTAGTATGGGATGTTAAAAAGTTACCTAGCAGACATATTAAGAACGAGAACTGTAATAGGGTTAACATGGTCCTACTTCAGCGATATATCAACTTCCTACCCTATGTGATAATTTAGTTCACATAGATTTTGATTGCCTTTTCTCTCAGAAGACATCACATTGATGACAGTATGCTCATTGGATCTTGTGTGCAAGAATTAAAAACTACTGTACCCTTATTAGTAAGACATTTGCCTGTCAGAGGGTAGGAAATAAATCTGACAAAAATCCAGGGGCCTACCACCTCAGTGAAATTTCTGCTTATCAAGTGTTTTGGGTCATGTGATGTCCCTTGTAAAGTGAAGGATAAGTTGTTGCAACTTGCCCCAACTACAATTAGAAAAGAGACACAATGCCTAATGGATTTCTTTGGATTTTAGAGGAGACATCCTTAGAGTATATGACGCTGGCCTGTTTACTGAGTGATCCAAAAGCTGCTGAATTTGAATTGGGTCTGGAGAAGAAAAGGTTCTGCATCAAATCCAGGATGCTGTGCAAGCTGTTCTGCCACCTGGGCATATGATCCAGCAGATGCTATGGTGCTTGAAGTTCATGGCAGACAGGGATGTGCTTTGGAGCCTTTGGCAGGCCCCTATATGTGAATCGCAGCACAGACACTTGGGATTTTTGGACCAAAGTCTTGTCATCCTTTGTGGATAATTACTCTCTTCTTGAGAAACTTAACATGCTATTGGGTCTTGGTAGAGACCGAATGTTTACACATGAGCTCACCAAGTTACCATGTGATGTGAGCTGCCCATCATGAACTGGGTGTTGTCCGGCCCACAAAGCTGTAAAGTTGGGTATGCACAACACACTCCATGATCAAATGGAAATAGTGTATATGAGATGAGCAGGCCTTGAAAGCACAAGTAAATCACATGAGAAACAGCCATACACAAGGAGCCAAGTGTACAAGGCTTTCATTCCTACTATATTACTCTCTCCCATCCCCACATTTGTGGCCTCATAGGTAGTTCCTTAAAATCACTGACTGAGAAAGAGAAAAGTTGTGCCTACTTTACAGCTGGCTCTGTACAAAATGCAGGCACCACCTGAAAGTGCAGCTAAGCACTGCAGCTCCTTTCTGGGACACTCCTGAAGGACAGTGGGAAAGAGAAAT